GGGGGGGCAACATGGTCGTTTATGCGAACACTCACGATTCGCGATTACTAACCAATGTCCGAACTGCCGATCGACCTTCGCTAGCCGACAGACTGCGATTAACCACCTCGCCGCGGCCTATCGGTCTGGACAATGCCTAAAACGTCGGTCGGTATTTAATTGTGAAGCGCACGATCCACCACAGCTGTTTTACCCGAGCGACGACTGCGAGCTCGCCTTCCCCAGTTTTAGCGAGCTCCAGGCGCGCATTGCCACGGCGCACCTGCCGACTCCACGCCCCCATGTCGCGGGCGAAATCATTGCCTGGCGCTGGGGGGCACGTCGGAGGCGCCGCAGCAGACGCGACACGACCGCGGAAGGCCCGCCGACAACGAGGAAAAGCACGATGCGGCCAGCAGAATGGATTGAACAAGCAGGTCAACCTAGACGAGGTCACCCTGGACGAGATGGACGTGCAATACATCCAGAGGATGTCCCCCATCGTGATGAAGCTGCGTTTTCAGTGTTGCGAAGAAGCAGCGCTAGACCGACGCCATCCTGATGAGAACCTGCCTCGACTCCCCAGGTGCCAAGAGCGCGGTTGCGATCCGCGCTCGAGTGCCTGCGTGGGTCAAGGAGGCCGAGGAGATCCGCGGCTCCAGCACTGCGGGCCAGGTCGACGCGGAGATGACGAAGATCGGCACCATCAGCGTCGCGGCGCTCGCAGGCCTGCTCGAAGGTCTCCATCTGGAAGGCGCGTCTGTAGGACGCCTTAACCAGCAGAAACTGACCGAGCTAGCCGATAAGCTGAAGGTGCAGGAAATCAAACAGATCGTCGAGCTCCTTCCTCTGGTGAAGGCCAGCGACGCCCGCGACCAAGCGATGGCCAAGCTCCAGCGCTGCTTCTACAAGGCCGACGTCGATCCCAGCGTGATCCACGAAGCGCTGATACAGACGGGCGCGAACGACAAGCCAGGCCGGGGACCCGTGGTCCATATGGAGCGGCTCTTGCATGCGAAGCTGGCACAGATGGAAGACACTCTCATGGGCTAAATGATCGAGAGTACTACTGGACACGACGCAGTTGCGCGCAGTGGAGCCCAGGCATTCTGCTGAATACCGCTGACGAGGGTGAGGGGCGCCCTAGTGCAGCTACGGGCGCGCCTTGTACGACTCGAACTACTACGGCTGCTCCCACATGTGCAGCCCCGTCGGCGGCGCCTGCTACGGCGAGTACTGAGATGCGCGCAGCTTCGCTGATGGCGCATGCACGTGAGATAGAGGCCGCCAACCAGAGAACCCCCGAGCCTCCTGCCCGCCTACTTCGGCACCCTGTTACTGACCCCTCTCTTTCCTCGGCCCCGGAGCCCCCTTGCCTCCCTCCGCCCCCTAAGAGGCCTCGCAGGGCCTCTGTCTCTCTGTATCCGCCCACGCGGCTGCCGCGACCTCCCAGGAGCCCGTCCTTCTCCTCCGCTGCCAGGCCTGATTCAGGCACAGACTCAAGGACGATGGACGCCATTTTGCGGCTCGTGAGATCGAGCAGGCTCTAAGACCTGCGTTTCGATTGCCGTCAGCGTGTGGCTCGTCATTTAACCTCGGGTGTAGCCCGATCCTAGTGGCACGCCGCGTCTGAGACCCGTATACCGATGCCTCCGAGGGTTCTGATCCGATGATATATATATATATATATATATATATATATATATATATATATATATATATATATATACATTTATGTAATACACTCAAATTTAACATATATCAAAATTCATCCCGAGCCCCATCAAGATTTGCAGGAAACGCCAGCTTACAATTCCATGAGGCAGCCCATCAGGCCGAGCTGGAGCTTGAGCGCGCGCGAAGCGCGCGATGGTTCTACTATATTTATTTATGTATGCGTATGTGTACATTTATACACAAACAAATACGTAGACATTTATGTGCGCATACGTATGTTTGTATGTATATATGTGTATGTATATGTATGTATGTATATGTATGTATGTATAAATATATACATATATATATATATATATATATATGTATATTCTCTCTTTCTCCCTCCCCATATATCCGTAAGGGCTTGGCCCCATGCCGCCGGCCCCCTGTCTCGGATAATGGGATATGCAAATGCTAAATCATGAAGTCTGGGCGCCGCTGTGAAGCAGCGTCGGGACCTGTTTAATTTCCGATCCTGATCCTACGGATCTGCGTGAGGGGTGCCGCCGGATGTAAGAAATGTGGCAAACCCTCTGTGTTTTTGAACCCTGACCCTACGGATCCGTATGAGAGTGCCACCGAATCTTAGAAATGTGGAAAATCCTCGGTTTTCGGATTCTGACCCTGTCGATCCGCGTGAGGGGTGCCACCGGATTTCAGAACTGTTGAAAATCCTCTGGGTTTTCGGACCCTGTCCCCGCCGATCTGCTTGAGGGGTGCAATCGAATTTTAGAAATCTTGAGAATCCATTGCGTTTTCGGACCCTGACCCCGCCGATCTGCGTGAGGGGTGCCATCGAATTTCAGGAATGTGGCACATCCAATGTGTTTTTGGACCCTGACCCCGCCGATTTGCGTGAGGGGTGCCACCGAAATTTAACACATGTGGCAAATCCATTGGGTTTTTGGACCCTGACCCCGCCGATCTGTGTGAGGGGTGCCAGCGAATTTCGGACATGTGGCAAATCCTTTGTGTTTTTGAACCCTGACCCCGCCGATCTGCGTGAGGGGTGCCACCGGATGTTAGACATGTGGCAAATCCCATGTCATTTTGGACCTTGACCCCGAAATGTAGCAAATCCCATGTGTTTTTGGATCCTGACCCCGCCGATCTGCGTGAGGAGTGCCACCGAAATTCAGAAATATGGCAAATCCCATGTGTTTTTAGACCCTGACCCCGCCGATCTGCGTGAGGAGTGTTCATCCGTAAGGAGAATGGGCCATGGAAAAGCTAAGTCATGAGGCCTTGGCGCTGTCGTGAAGCAGTATCGAAACTTCATGCGAAGCCGAGTCGCAATCAGCAAAACCAACTGATCGCAAGAGGGGTTACCAGACCTGGCGATTGGTAAGACGTGTATGGTTTAAGGGCTTGGTTACCACATCTTGCGATGAAAGGGCTGAGGGAGTTCTCGCAGTTTGGGTTACCACGCCTTGCGATGGATGTGCGTGATGGGTTCGAATTTCAGAAATGTGGCAAATCCCTTGTGTTTTTGGACCCTGACCCCGCGGATCTGCATAAGGGGTGGCGCCGAATTTCAGAAATGTGGCAAATCCCATGTGTTTTTGGACCCTGACCCCGCGGATCTGCGTGAGGGGTGGCACCGAATTTCAGAAATGTGGCAAATCCCTTGTGTTTTTGGACCCTGACCCCGCGGATCTGCGTGAGGGGTGGCACCGAATTTCAGAAATGTGGCAAATCCCCTGTGTTTTTGGACCCTGACCCCGCGGATCTGCGTGAGGGGTGGCACCGAATTTCAGAAATGTGGCAAATCCCATGTGTTTTTGGACCCTGACCCCGCGGATCTGCGTGAGGGGTGGCACCGAATTTCAGAAATGTGGCAAATCCCATGTGTTTTTGGACCCTGACCCCGCGGATCTGCGTGAGGGGTGGCACCGAATTTCAGAAATGTGGCAAATCCCTGTGTTTTTGGACCCTGACCCCGCGGATCTGCGTGAGGGGTGGCACCGAATTTCAGAAATGTGGCAAATCCTTTGTGTTTTTGGACCCTGACCCCGCGGATCTGCTTGAGGGATGTTGATTTCGAGCCCCCCCAGTAATTCAGACAACGCGCCCAGGGGACGCTGGAAAATCTTGTTTGGGCCCCCCCCCTCGCGCGGTCAATCAACTAGTTACAGTAACCAGCAAGAAGTCAACTAGTTACAGTAACCAGCAAGAAGCAGAACTGTAACACTGGAAACTAGAAACCACAACTGGTACAGGAAACTGCGAATCACGCGCCTCGCAGCCTGGTGGCCCCACAAGGGGGCCGGCGGATTTTTACCCACCCCAGCAATTCAGAGCACACGCTCAGGGCGTGCTAAACCTGCCCGTTTGGCCCTCCCCGCCCTCGCGCGGTCCATCAACAAGGAACAGTAAGCAACGAGAAGCAGAACTGTAACAGTGGAAACTGGAAGCTGCAACTGGTACAGGAAACTGCGAACCTTCGGCCTACAGCCTGGTGGCCCCGCAAGGGGGCCAGCGGAGAGATATATACACATGAGTAGGCCCCGGGGGCGGCCCAAACCAGTGCCTCTGTGTCGCATGGGGGGCCCAACGGGCCCCCGCCCGCCAAAAGTGCCGTCGAGGCGGCCCCGAGGGCACCAAAAAGGGCCCTCAAGGGGGCACCACGGCGCTCCCAGCACGCCGACCGTTTTTTCGAGACGGCTCACGTGGCCTCCAAGCCACCCCAAGAGAGCTTCCAGCTGATCCCCGAGGGAGGCCCCAGGGGCGAGCATCATTGATTGTGAAGGCTGTATGGCTGGTGCAGAAGGCCTGCCACCTTACACTTCCCCACTCGGCGCGCCGCCGAGTTTGGTTTTGTTTGGTCATAGCGCGGATCTCCTTTGGCCGTTCGGGACGATCCGGGCACCCACAGGGCGCTCTCGGCGAGGCGCAGCTGCTGGAACGCACCCTGAGGCTGGAAAAATGTTTGAACATCTCGACGCTCGAACCCCCCCCCCCAGAGCCTCAAACCTTTTTTTCCGTATCTCTCCCTCCAAGCTTTCTCCAGGCCCGCGCACTGTCCATAAGAGCAATAATGTAGCTGAGCACAGGAGGGCCTGCAGGCAGCTACGGAGCTCGGACATGCAGAAGGAGGGCGCGGACGACTCTGCAAAGCACCAGGGGACCAGAGCATTGACAGCGCGAGCACCGAATCTGCAAGTGGCCGGGGGTAATTACCCCGGCCGCTTGCAGATTATATAGTTATCGGTTCCGGCCGGCCCGATCCGATTCGATTCCGATGTGCCGACGATCCGATGCGGCCTGCTCCGCGCTGCCGCACTCTGGTCCGACCCCGAGAGGCCCCGCTCGGGTACACGGGCCACGCCACGACGTTCGAGGCCGCCGTGCACGGCGTGGCCGCCGCGCCCGCCCTGGCGCGCGTGCGCAGGTCGGCGACCACAAAGGGTATGGTCACGCCGGGCTGTGGTTTGCCATCGGCACCGCCGGGGCCTGGGGGTCACGACGCTGTCCTTGTCGGGCCTCCTCGGGGCGCGGGGGAGCTCCATCGGGGTGCCCGCGCGCCTCCAGGGTGCCCCCCAAGTCAAGCAGTGGCGAAACGTTTTGGGTCGCCCATAGCCCTACCCAACAGTGTTGTAATACGCTTTTGTGGTTTCCAGGAAATGTCCTTGGAACATTTCTGGCGGAGCCTGTCTTGTTTCATCACATCGGGTTAATGTTCGAAGGACACTTTTTGGTTCTAAGAACATTTTTTCGGTTCTAAGAACATCTCGTGGTAGGACCATAGGAATGCCGGGACGGTCGGTCCCTGCTCAACCAAGATGTTTTCCAGGGTGCCAGTTGCAAACCGCAACTTCTGCAAACCGCACCCTCTGGAGTCTGTCGCCGAGCAGGGAGCTGGACGCGCGGCCAGCGGGGGGAAGCAATCTGCCGGCCCGGGTCGAGCATGTGGGCGTCCGAAGGGTCCGAGGAGGAAGCGGTCCCGCTGCCGCTGTTTGCCTTGGCATCGCACGGACGTGTGCATTTTTCCTTCGGCGAGGACCATCGAGGAGCATCCTTGATCATCTGGCGAACAAGCCACGCAAGAAACCGAAGCAAACACCGGGAATGGACGTCCGAGCGATGGCGAGTTGCCCTCCCCCCTGGTTTTTCCCCTCTTCGGGCCTCCCGGGAGGTCCTCGTCGCCCAACCTGGATTCGCTTCGAGCTTCTGTTCAGACTGCACCCCGAGGGAGGTTCAGGAGGGAAAGAAACAGACAGACACAATTAATCGTCGATTCCCCAGAAAATATTGGAAAATATGGGAAGTGGGGGGAAGACAAAAACCCAGAACATATAGGAAAATAGGGGGAATTCTTTTACCTGTGTGCATTTATTTGTGTGTCCCAGGGCCCCTTCAGTTTGGTGAGCGGCGTTGTCGGTATCTTTCGGTGTTCCCCAGAAGTGGGCAAGAGCCAATCTGCACAATGCCCTACAGCACATGCTTTCCCAAACTGGCAGCGGCCGTTGTTGGGCAGGCGGTCCTCCGTCTCAAGTGGAGACTGCCCGCGGCGGCACCAGCAGCGAGTCCTGTTCAAACTTGTCAGGAATTGCCGCCGGTTTTTGTCTCCATTCTTTCCGTACTCGATTCTTGCGTGCCTGGAGGGAGAAAACAATTGACATCTCTCAGCAGGATCGTGTTCCGAGGCGGGGATTCATCCATGACCGCCACCTGGGGGATCGATTTTCGGGGGCCGGTATGTGGTGGATATGGATGTGTTCGGGCGCTTTTCTGCCAACACATATCCATGTCCACCGCCCGCTGAGGTCCAGGGATGTCGGTTCCCCAAGCGGCGGATCTGTATAAGTCCCGCTCCCGCAAGGATGCCGATTCCGCTGCTCGTCTTGCAGGGCCCTCGTCGCCACGGTTGGGTTCTGGTCGAAGTGTAGGCCAGGACGCTCCCCGGGAGAGGGCCGGGGAGTGGCGGTATGCGTGCTTTCTCTCCCCCCCCCCCCCGCAGTGCACGGCAGAAGCCAGGGCGACGACAAGCTCAGGCGCGTGCCCCCCAGAGGCCGAGGGAGGGCCCCTGTGATCTCGCAGCAGGCCGCGGTCGAGGCGGCGGAGAGGCCCTCCCGTGGCGCTCTTGGCCCCGGGGGCCTCCTAGGCTGCGTCGCGCCGCCACGGCGGGGCCCGCCTCTCGGAGGACGGGCCAGGAGGGGCTGCGGGAGGGGTTCCCGGGGTGCCGCCTCGAGTAGGGGGCCAGGAGAAAGGGGTACGGAAAGAATGGGCACAATGCTCAGCAGCAGCTGCTGTCCCAAGCTAACAGCGGCCGCTGTTGGGCGGGCGGCCTTCTCGTCTCAAAGGGGCCCGGGCCGCGGCGACACCGACGGCGAGTCCTGTTCAGAATGAACAGGAACTGCTATTACCCATTCTTTCCGTACCCATTTCGGGCGTCCAAAAGGAGGGGCTGCGGGAGGGGTTTGGGGACCATTACCAGCCTGGAACATATCCCTATCCCTATGCTGGACACCTCCTCATCACGATGCCAATCTTAGGGATCCCCTTATTTTTTGAGGGCGAATCCCTAAGATTGTCATCGCCTTTTGGCGTGCCGATCTTAGGGATAGGGATACGTTCGAGGCTGGTAAGACCAGAGTGGAGCGGGTCTGGGCTGGGCGGGAGGTCCAGCTCTCACTCTCTCTCAGCGGCCGGCGGGGGAGGCAGCCGTCCGGGGGGGGAGCAAGACTCAGGAGGGAAGAAACACAGACACAATGAATCGTCGATTCCCCAGAAAAGATAGGAAAATATGGGAAGTGGGGGGGAAGACAAAAACCTAGAAAATATGGGAAAATACGAGGAATATTGTTATTTGTGTGTATTTATTTGTGTGTCCTGGGGCCCCTCCAAAGACACGCAGACCAAACCAATCGTCGACTCTCAGGGGAAGCTGGGAAATAAGGGACGTAGAGGGGACTACGAACACCCAGGAGATGCGGCAATACAGGGAATCCTGCGATCTGTGTGCATTGATGTGTGTGTGTGTGTGTGTGTGTGTGTGTCCGGGCCCCTTCAAACTCGCCAGTCCGAGTCGAAGAAGGAAGGCCGACGTAAGCCAGGGCGGCGGCAATCTCGGCGACGCGCCTTTGCAGGCCGACGGGGGGTCCTCGAGGTCGGCACTGGGCTGAGTTGGACAGTCGCAGGGGGCACGGGTATCCGAATGAAGTCAATCCGTGTAGCACGGATGCGCGGAAGAATGTAAAGGGCTTCAGAAGGGCCATGCCGACATTTTGCGAGCGGAGCGCAGCCAGCGAAATCGGCCAAGGATGGGCCGAAGAGGAAGGATGCAAGGGCAACCTTGGAGAGCTGCTCATCCTTACTAGTTATGCGGGTTGCATGTGCGCACTTTCGGATGTCTGCGCGGCGCTGGAACCCCTTCCCTGGCTCGCGGGAGTGCGGTAGGCGCGGCGCCGCAGTCGCCGCCAGGTAGGCCCAGCGCCGACCCGAGGGCTCCCTGTGGACATCCGAAAGTAACCCTATGCCTCGGAGAATAATCCCACAGGAATAATAAAGTTCGGAGTCGCGGGGGGATTATAAATGTTGCCCACCGGAGGCCAGCATGAAGAGATGATCAAGAGGAGCGAAAGCCGAGGATATCTTGAGACATCCTTGGCTTTTGGTCCTCTCTGAGACATCCTCAACAATGGTTTGTCTCGCTTGAGACATCCTCGACAACTCTCTCGTTTCGCTTGAGGCATCCTCGAAATAATTGTTTGCTTCGCTTGAGAGATCATCGACGACTCTCTCGTTTTGCTGGAGACCTCCTCGACTTCGCCTGAGACATCGTCTAAGAATTCTTTGTTTTGCTTGAGACATCCTCCAAATCATTGTTGGTTTCGCTTGAGGCAGCCTCGAACAATTGCTTGTTTCGCTTGAGATTCCGATGGATTCCTTATATATTCCTATGAGTCTTTTACGATCTGTCATATAAATGAATTGACGCTTGCGTCGGCCTCCTTAAAGAGCTCCATGGATAGTAAACCCCAGCGATACAAAAGTTCAGGGGGCCAGGGAGAGAAGGAGAGAGAGAAGAGAGAGAAGAGAGAGAGAGAGAGAGAGGGAGAGAGCGACAGAGAGAGAGAGAAAGACGATTTAGACAAATATAAGCAGAGAGAGAAAGAGAAGAAACGAGCAGGAGAAGGAGAGGAGGAGGAGGAGGAAGCAACAATCCAAAGTTCAAAACCTATTAGATGTTATTGTAAACGCTTAATGGAAATTGAGATTTTCATCTGCTCGTGTAGGGTAGCTCATCTGCCTCGTTTTCCCAGGATAGTCAACCACAGCGATGAAACAGTTCAGGAGGGCACGGAAAGAAGGAGAAAGGTTAAGAGAGAGAGAGAGAGAGAGAGAGAAAAAAAGAAAGAGACAGAGGAAGAGAGACAGAGAGAGAGATAGAGAGACAGAGAGAAAGAGAGAAAGATGTTGAGAGAGAAAGAGAAACAATATAGAGAGAGAGTCGGAGAGAGAGAGAGGAGAGGAAGATGAGAAGGAGGAATAACACATCCAAAGTTCAAACCTTATTAGATTTTATTTGTAAGCGCCCAATGGAAATTAAGATTTTCATCTGCTCGTGTAGGGTAGCTCATCTGCATCGTTTTCCAAGGATAATCAACCACATCGATAAACAAGTTCAGGGCGCCAGGGGGAGGAGGAGGAGGATGAGGAGGAGAGAAGGAGAAAAGAACCACAGGATTCCTTAAGCATTGCTTGTTTCGCTTGAGACATCCTTGCCGTTCGAGTCGAGGTTCGAGTCGCCTTGAAACATTGATCGTTTCGTTTGAGACTGCCTCCCACAATTGTTGGTTTCGCTTGAGACATCCTGAAAAAACGTGTTCGCTTCGCTTGATGTTGCTATCTCAACCTAAGAAAGAAGTAACCTCGATGGAGAACTTTTCACAGTGATAATGAAGTTCGGCCTCCGCGCCCCGCGCCCCCGACCAAACTCTTCTTGGCCGTGGATAATCAACGTTAATCTGTTAAGGGGGGGAGTACTTTATTATTATCCTCGGCATGTGGTTATCTGTTTATGCATTTTTTGTCAGAGATCCGCGTCGTCGTGACATCGCCCTATACTCTGGTGCCGATTTCAAGGATTCCCGCAGCGTCTGAGGGCACGCCCGTGAGATTGCCATCATCCCGGTCCGTGTACATTCTGGGGAGTAGAGGTACAGCCCGAGGCTGGTCATCAGCGCGTGTCCTTCATGGTCTCTTTTCCACGGGTGGGATGGGGAAAACCGCAACGGCACCTCGTCCGCTCATGTCTGGACAGCATAATAGTGGGGGAGGGTGAGGAGGAGGAGGAGGAGGAGGAGGAGGAGGAGGAGGAGGAACCAGTGGCCACAATTCAACTGTAGTTGTCGTGGAACTGCTATTACCCATTCTTTCCGTACCCATTTCGGGCGTCCAAAAGGAGGGGCTGCG